AAATTTATTTTTGCTAAGATCTTTAAAAAAGATGTATATAGAGAAAAATATTATATATATAGAGAATATTATATATATAGAGAAAAATTGCCGATACTGACATAAATTTTCTAAAGCGACACCCTCTTATTTCTCAGAAACTAATTATTGCACTTTATTATTAATACTAATAAAATCATGATCTGTTTAGCTAATTAAAGAAGTACAAATACGAATTCATAATTCGTATTTGTACTTCTTTAATTAGCTAAACTAAATTTGTGACTTATTTCTATACCAAATCAATTAAAAACGAATTCTACGATTGTGAAATTAAAATTCTTATGATTTTCTTTCAGTAGTTTAAAAAAATAACAGTGACTATATTATTGATAATATTATATTATTCTAAATGCTTGTAGTTTCCTAAATCAGTTTTATTTATATTATTTTTTCTCTTAGTTTTTTTATAATATGATTTTAAATATAAAATTAGGGTGCAGCGTAAACCGCCACACCTATCTGTGTATCAAAATAGATCATGAGCTAACTTAATCTTTATAATGTTACTTCATAATGTCAAATAACTCTGTTGAAGCTGAAGACAATTGTCCATATATAGAATAACTCTTAAAAAACTATCGTGTTATATATTTGCATTTTGCAGAACAGTATAAAGTAAATATGCACATCAATAAAAATATTTTATAACGAACTGAAAAAATTCTAGAATATATTCACTGTACTCTATGCAGATAATTCCGTTAAAAAAAAAAATAAGAATACAAAGCACTAGTGTCTACTGTGTCAGTTTTGGAGCCCATTTTATCAAATCCTTATTTTTCCTTACCTTATGAAAGATTAATTATTGTTAAATTGCAAACAATATTATAAAAACTGCTTATATCTGATGGAGATACTTTTTAGTTTGTACTTACGTTTTTAAAATTTTTATTATTAATTTGTTTAAGAAATATTGTCTAAAAACAAAGTATGTCGGTATCGGTGACTTTCCTCTAATTATTTTAGAAAATATATATAATTATTTTAGAGAATTCATAATTATTTTATATTTAATTAAATAATGAGTATAAAATTCGATGCATACACAAATTATATTTTCAAAATTGTATTTATATTGTATTCATATTTTTCAGCAAACTGCATGCGTTCATATAGCAATTATGTTTTAAAGTAATGATTATTTTTTTACTCTGTTTTAATTTGGATTTTAATTTATTTGTTACAGAATCATTGTAGCGATGTTGCAGATATAACTGTTGCGCATCGGGTGAGTAAATGATAAATTAACATTTTAATTGGGATAACGGATGTATGATAATTTTATTAGTACATGTACATACTGTATTATATATTACATACTTGAATACATATACATGGATTTAATAACAATATATAGACAAACATATGTATAGCATTGCATATCCATTTCATTAAAATTGATAATTTAGTTGTGTATGCCTCATTCTCTGGCTAATTTTATAGATCAAATTTCTAAAAATTAGCATTAAAAAATTAAGAAATTTTAGAAAACTAAACTTGAAAGGGAAATTAAGCGGGATAATGTAACAAAGTGTGAACTTATAACAAGAGCATTGATTTCTTTATTCTTTATAATTGTAAACTTACGCTCCAACGTATTACTTAGAGCCTACGTATAATAAATTTAAATGATTGATACATATCGTATATACATAATCATATAAAACAGTTGATGAAACAGTCGGTGTGTAATCCTTTCTTTCCACACATTTTCTTCTCTCTTCTTCAAATTATTTACATGAATTATTAGCAAGCAGTTATATAAATAACGACAATTTCTTCGATTTTCTGTACACGTCTTGAGAACGATGGAAGTGCGCGAAAAATCGACAATTTTCTGCACGATTCTCGATATCGAGAAAGCTGCGGCAATGAAATTACGAGCTATAGCACAGATACTTCGTCGATAGTAATTTCTATTGGAAACTGATTCGACTTCGTAATGTCTGGGTCTGCCTTACATTTCTTTTTGAATGGCCGCCGTATTTGTTTGTACAAATACATATCAATTTATATAACACGATATCAATTCTATTTATCTCTTATTTAATTTATTTAATCTTATTTATTTAATAATTAGAAAATAAATAAATCGCGCACATAAAGGAATGTTACAGTTGCCACAATCGGAAGTAATGATAATTTTTGCCCATCAATACACCTGGTTGTGATAATCGTATTTTTCAGCCATAATCATTAAAATGCCAATCTTACAATTATTACAATCGTACTACAGTTCTCTAAACCAAAAAATGAATTGATGGGCGATTTTGGTCGTGGCAACCATAACTATATTTTTCCGTGTGTATACATTATACGCTTTAACAAATTTTCGATCCGTTATTTATAGTATATATTTTAAAATAGTTTCAAGTAATTAACTCTTTGTGGCGACGATTCTATTTGGAGTCACTCTTTTATTTCATAAATTGCTTATTAAATTCGAATTGAGGTAAAAATTTAAAAATTCAAAATAAATAGTAGATTTACGAACGGAATTTCAAAAAAGTAATTTGATTATCATAAAAGTATTAGGAAGTTTTTAATTTCGAAATAGGTAACATTAAGTTTCTAATTTCGCTTTGAATAAATACTGATTTCCAAACTGACTTTCAAACTCTGATTTTGAACATTGTGACATTAGAGCCTCCTTCATTGAGATTACTATCCTTTACTGCAAAGAAATTAACATTGTTATGTAATTTACATCCCTCTTCAGAAGGCAGTAGTGCGCGACGACATTTTGCAGTTATAGAAAAAAAGCCGTCATATGTCTTCTCTCAGATTTTTTTTTACTCTTACATTTGAAACGTTTCGAGTATAAATCGAATAATAAGTAATCGATTTATCGACTATTCGAAATTGAACCATATTCGATTTTAAGAGATGTTCGATTATCGAGAATGTCTCGCATTCTCGTACTCGCATAATTGTTTGCAATTCTGCTTGCCAATTGAGATTAATTTGAGGTTATGTGTCTATCGTCTATAGAAAGGTTATACATAATAGTGGCATGTTACGGGATGGATGATGAATAAGCTATTATTTATTCCGATCAAGGAAATTAGTCGGGAGATCTATGGTGGTACGGTGCGACCATCCGAGATTTGTAAGGCCTCCATTAAATTGACTTCAATCGTCAAGCCTTTAAACTCTTATATCAACGTGACGAACGATGTTGCGGGAGAGCAGGCAAACTCCGCCGATGAAAGGCAACAGAGAAACTCATTATTGGGACAGCTCGACGGCATTCCCATTGCCATTAAGGATAACTATTGTGTCAAGGATAAACTTACGACTTGTGCTTCTCGGATGTTGGCAAACTTTTCCCCGGGTTACAACGCCACCGTATACGAGAAGCTCAGGACGCAGGGAGTTGTCTTGATCGGTAAAACTAATCTTGATGAGTTCGCTATGGGCTCTGGCACTGTAGATTCGTTTTATGGACCAACAAAGAATTTATGGAGTTCAGAAGTGTTGTCTCAATTTTATTCGTATGGGTCTGACGATTCGCAGGTCACTACAAGGAAATTCCATGAAAAAGATACATGGCGCATAGCAGGTACATTGCCACAAATTATTAGTCATTGTTCAGTACACTTGTCATTTACCTAATTTACGTTGAGGAATACATTATACAATGAACACCAATTAATTGTGACATAACATCAATATTATAATTTTGCGCTTATAATATACACTTACAAAATTGTATATAACAGTTATATTGTTGATGTAAAATTATAATATTAATGTGTTACTGTTTGTGTTTACTGAGTAGTAACAATTTTTGGGATATAATAAATACATCTTAGGTGGCAGTAGTGGAGGGTCAGCAGTTGCAGTAGCTACAGGTACCTGTTATGCAGCCTTGGGTTCTGATACTGGTGGTTCTACTCGCAATCCTGCATCGTATTGTGGTCTAATTGGCTTGAAACCAACTTATGGTTTGGTATCACGTTATGGTCTTATTCCTCTATTAAATTCAATGGATGTACCTGGTATTCTCACGAGAACAGTAGACGATGCTGTATTAATTTTAAATGCCATAGCTGGTCCTGACCAAGCAGATCCTACTAGTGTACAAAGAGAATATGTTCCAATTAACTTATCAGAAACGATAGACATTAGTAATCTTAGGATTGGGATACCAAAGGAGTATGGAGTACAAGGTATAAGTGAAGAAATTGCAAAATGTTGGGAAAAAGTTTCTTGTCTTCTGAAAGAAGCGGGAGCCAGTGTCGTCCCAGTGTCGTTACCACACACCGATTACTCTATAGTATGTTATTCCGTATTAAATCGATGCGATGTAGCTAGTAACATGGCTTGTTATGACGGCGTAGAATATGGTCACAGAGCCAATGAATGGAGTTCGATTCATGAATTGTATAAGAAAACTAGATCAGAAGGTTTCAATAACGTAGTCAAAGGTCGTATACTAGTCGGGAATTATTTTCTTTTGGCGGAAAACTACGAGAAATATTATGTTAAAGCAATGAAGATGCGTAGATTAATCGCACAGGATTTTGATGTTTTGTGGAATAGTAATGTAGATCTTCTGCTGACTCCAACTACGCTAACTGAAGCTCCGAGATACGACGAATTTATACAACTGGACAATCAGACGCAATGCTTGATTCAGGATCATTGTACGCAACCCGCGAATATGGCTGGTTTGCCCGCGATCAATGTACCAATCAAACTCTCTTGCAATAAGTTACCTTTGTCCTTGCAATTAATGGCGCCGCTCTTTCACGAACAGAGGTTACTTACAGTGGCAAAGTGGATCGAACAGACAGTGCGATTTCCGAGACTCGAATTGAAGAATTCATGTTTGCTTGAATAAAATAACTTTTTACAATCATTGGTGGATTTTCTTTGGATTTTCTTTATTAAGCTTGCATTCTTTCAAGTTGTACATATATATCACGTTAGATTGATCTATTACGATTTTATACGAAGTACCAGCTAATATCATTGGATTTCATATATGCACCTTTGAGTAATATGTATACAATTAGAACGAAAATTATATAGATTTCCCTGCGTAGCGCAATGGCGCGTAGCGTAACCCTGAGGCTATGTAATGCAAACAAGTTACACTCCCGTATACCATCTAGCGTATCTGAAATTCTATTCGTCGAGTAATAGCGTTTGCTTTGCAACCAAACGACCCTTGTCTCGTTTCCGCGTTATAATGTTTATATATAAAAACGAAATTGTGGAGCTCTCTTCACTGTAAGACTAATTCTTTAAAAATAGGCGAGAAAGAATTTTTCCAAGTAAATATATGTTATTAAAAGAATAATTTTTTATTAAGTTTTTATTTTTAAAGATAGCAGCTTTTTTTATTTTTGCACTTCGTATTTACATTTCATCTCGGTCTCGGTTATCTAATATACATCATATTCTTATTTTCATTGCGAGTTACTGAGGCTTGCATGACGAAACTCTGACATTTCGAAATTCATTATCTCCCGAGGACCTGAGGGTGATTTGAACAGAGTACAAACAACTGACAATATGGGCATGCAAAATCTATTCACGTAACCGACGTAATAATTAAATTGTTGTAATGTTTCAGTCCGATCTATTGTATTCATATTAGATTAAGAAATGGGACAATCTAATTTATATAAACTCAATTACGTTTTATTGTTGCGAAATTCAATGATATATATAAAAAGCTGCACAATTATAAAAAAATAATTACAGATTGTACGACATAAAAGAATCGAATACTACATGTACAGAATAAATTATTAATCGAATTACATTTTTTTTTAGCACAAGTAGATGATCTGGGAAGGCGAGATTTATTTCGAGAAAAATATAATATTTTCTTATCTCGAAATGAATTTTCGTTATTTCAAAATGTTATCTACTTATTCGTTGAAAAGTTGAATAAACGAGGAGATGTTCAACATTTCTGCACTGAATACTGAAATGATATTCATATGTATCTTTTTTTTTGTTTTTACAATTCAACCCGATATCGGTCTCCGAGTTTTAAGAAAATAGTTCAAAAGAACAGAAATAATGTATTCTTTCTGTATATATATATATATATATA